GTAACCTTCTTCACATGCTGAGCTGTGGCACACGGCTCAGTTTCACCCTACCACACTCTGGAGGACATTCACAGAGATGCTGTGGGGACAGCCCTCATTGTCAGTGTGTACCTGCCCTCTTCCCCGCTGGCCCTTCAAACCATCAGACGCAATGCCCCAGTCCATGTAGACAGCAGGATGAAATGTTTAGCCTGCAATGGTGAGGGGCTGAGAAAAAAAATCAGAGGTATGTAATATCTCACAGCAGTAACTAAGCCTTTGGACAGCCACTTGTGCAAACCTGGTGCTGAAAAATGAATAAAAAGCATACGCACATGCCGGTGAGCCAGAGTCTGCTTTGCCTAGCAGTAGCTGGGTGCACTGTGGAGCTAGCGAGAGGCGCTGAGCGGGCACTTCCAAGACCTTTCCTTGCAGGGACAGCAAGAAGTCAGGTCTGGTGTCTTCCACAGGGAGCTGTTGTCTCTTCTGAGCAGGCTGGTGCCTCGGTGGCAGAGGCGGCTGTCCCCAGGCCGCTCGCTCCCTGTCTGCGCAGCCAGGAGCTGGCCGGGGGGAGCAGTCAGCTGGGTAACACAACCTGTTTAGGCACTGGAGTGAGACCAATACCACATTTCACACAGACATCTTTATTTTCACATTTCTGCATGTATGCACGAGAAAGTTCTTTTTCCTGGGATGTGCTGGTAGACATATTATACCCTACAGAATGGAGATTAGCATTTTTTTTTTTTTTTAATATATATATATGTACACACATATATATAGTCTCACAAAATTTCCTCATTTCTCCCTGTGTCAGAATGGATGTTTACAACAAACCACAGCTAAAGGGACACTGCAAGGTTTTGTTTTCTTTTTCTTATCTCTAAACAAGTAGAACGTTTTTGAACTCTTATTTACACAAGGGACAGGCTATCAGTTAGATGTACGTCACTGCACCAAATACAAGAGCACCCCTGAATCAGCGATGCAAATAAATCATTAGCATGTAGATGTTACACTCACAGCACAGTGCAGCAGTTTAATAGCCTCTATGCAGGTAGAGAAGTGTTTATGAGTGTCCTACTTTGAAAAGTTTCCCTGTAAATTTTTAACCTGACAGTGTCCCTTAAGAAAAAAGTACATACTGGGCTTAATAAAGGACACTCTCCTACAGATATTTTCTTTTTATTATTAAAACCATTCAACAAAATTTAATACAAATTACCATTGGAGAACAGCATTTGTGAAGCTATGCATTGCTGCTCCATTAACATGGCTTTAGTTATCCCAATTTACATTATTTGCACATTTCCTTAGGTCTTTCATGGCACTTCCATGAAGAAGAAAAAAAGGTTGTTACACTGCTGCTACCATCTTACCAGAGGTCACACATGGACACGAAGATGTTTGCTCTCAACATGTGTCACAGTCAAGGCAGTGCCAAAGTTCTGCCCAAGATGCTTGAACCTTAGGATATCTGTACCCTCAGGTTTATAGCTTGACTCGTGATTGCTCCAACATTGCAATGCATTCAAAGTAACAGGAAAACAAACATCGACGGTAACAGGCACGTTACATTTTTTTTTTTTGCATTATCATTAATCACATTCCTATTTTTCAACAGATTGTTGCCTAAAATGCATGTTAGAAAGGCTTTTTTTTTTTTTTAGAAAATGCTGGCATGAAGATGCAGACTAATGTTTATAACTAATGAAACAGTCAGACTAATGATTCAGACGTTATTTAAACATTCACAACTTTGAGAAAATTTGCACAGCTGATAGAACTGACAGATAGTCTAACTGTAACTTAGAAGTCAGCATAGTAACTGCCTTCCACATACTGGCAGTAGGATTTATGATGGTATGAGATTAGAATAGCATACTATGTTTTATTTAGAAAGCTGTAGTAGTAAGTATTTGCCATAAATATTGCAAGCCCCCTTTATGAGCGATGGGAGGCTTTGCAAGTTTACAAAGTAACATTCACAGAAAACAAAAAACAAATGCAAAGACATTTCCATGCAGAGTACGATTCTCTCACAGTCACTGGATCTCTGTCATCTGTTGGCTGGAGCACATGGGCCATATACACATATGCTGCTCACTGAAAATCCAGAGGCCTTCTACGCACTGATGCATACCAGCCTCTGGTTGATATCAGTGGGATCAGAGACAAACACAGGATAATAAATGGTTTTGCAAAGGCAATAACTCTGCCACAGACAGAATTTACAATCAGAGCTACGTGAAAATACAACTGTTGTGTGTCACTCTGCCAATCCCCCTATCTCAGCTACAATGGGCTTCCAGTGGAGCAGAGAGGTAGCAACCCAGGGCTGAACATCAGGTATGCGCCGGTGGGGTCTGGACTCCAGCCAGACTGACATCGAAGCTAGTTATGCCTCAAGGGTGGAATCAGGACCAGCACAGCTTTCAGCATCTCCCTCTCTGCCTAACGCTCCCCCATCATTAACTGGGAGCTGAAAACTGACACTGGAGCAGAAAAGGAGATGCCAAAATGGGAGGGTCACTAATGGTAGCCTGATTTCAGCAACGCACTCAAGCACGTACTGAGAGTAACATCCAAATGTTTGAAGTATGTTGCCAAACCCGGGCCACACTCAACAGCAAGCGGTCGTAGCCCCTGTGTCACAGGCACCCCCGTGCCACCATACAGCACTTTTGTTAGTGGAGACACAGAGAACATAGCTGAGGCTGAACTCATCACAGTAACTCCAAAAATTAATTTAGCTTCAGGGAGCATGGTATCATGCAACTAATAATGTTTTCTTTTGAAAAGGGCACGTTCAAATTTTGCTAGCTTTTCAGGGTGTATGTGCCATCTTATGAGCACATTTGGAGCAGCACTGTTAGAGGAGACAGGCACCGTGCTAGCCCAACGCAAACGCTTGTTTCCCATTACCTTGACCACTTTTCCCTCAGCTGGTTAGCTGCTTAGACTGCAATAGACAGATGTGTGGGGAAAAAAGCAGGTTATTCATTATATTAAATTCTGTCATTTGCTAAAGTGATTGCAAGAAGAATCAAAAAGGAACAGTGTAAACATAGTGCCTTACTTCAGCTATAACTAATGTCTTTATCAAGTACCTATTAAATAAAAACTAGACAGACAATACCGGACAACTGGAGGACAGGGCTACTGCCATAGCATCGCATCACTTCTGCGAATCACAGCACGTTATGGGAGTTGCTATGCTCTATATCATTCCTAGAAAGGAATTAATTGATGGTATTGATATGAAAGGCAATAAACAGGATAGACTAGGTTGTCATTCCTGCATACGTGTAACTTCCCTCACTTGAAAAGCACTTTTGATGACAAGTGGGCAACTTAAAGCAATAAAGACTACATAGAAGTGTACGGAGGAGCACAGTAAAAGGGGAAAATGTCACATCTTGGGGAATAATCATAGCGTTATGCTAGTACTGATCAGACCTACTTCTATAATCAGGAATATTTCAATAGATTAAGTTTTTATAAAATATAGGGCTACAGAAATGAGACATTCTATATATTTTGCATTATAAAAAGCTTCCACTTACATAATTTTTTTAAAATATATTTTCACTGCTAACAGTATATCTGTAATATAGTATCTAATATAATAAAAATAGATGCTTACTGGATGGGAGCGATGTTGCCCTGTGGCAGGGACTCTCATTTCTGCGTGGTTCAAGCAGCTAGAAAAGTTGGTTGTTCCCTCCTTCCCTCAGTTTCTCAGCCATCAGCTGCCTGGAGACTGCGACAGCACTCTGGTGTGTTAACTGTCTTAAGAGAGTCCTCTGCAAAGCAGGCTCTGACATGTTCCTCAGCTGACAAATAATCTACTGGGCAAAATCCAACCTTGGTGTAAATTCTCTACATGATTCTTTTGTTTTACTAATTAGAAAACCACACACCCCAAACCAATGATCTATTTGTCATTAGTAAGGATATGGGACTTGTACAAGTCATGAAATTACCTTGTAGGAAAAAAGATTTTGCTATAGAAAATGTTAAATTACCCAAAGGGACATATGGGCCTGGCAGCTGATTCTGAGATTCTAAAGTAGGCAAGATTTTACTGTCACTTCCAATGGAAAAATAAAAACGTTCAAATGATGAATCTAGGAAGCGCGTGCCAAACTACACCCAAAGGACCATAGCACATGACCACCGTGCTGCCGAGATGCACGCTGGAGAATGACTTCATGTCCCACCACGTGCTGGGACTGCAGAAGGTGGCTGGGACCAGAGCAGGTATTCATCTTCCTGTACCAGCCCTTATAAACCTGCCCGGTCTTGCAAGAACTTAACCTTGTTGAACAGGATTTGTTCTGTAGTTTGAAAATTTATATGTGCAACACATGTTTTGCTCCTTTCTGGCTCACCCTGGCATGAAGATCCTTTAGTTAATGTGTTCAGGAAAAACTCCACCAAACTCAGTGTGGTGGCACCAGTGCATGTGAGAGGGAAAGCGGGATCTCTGCAGAAATAGGGATATTGGCTACACAGGCTGTCTGCTTAATGTCCTAGGTACATTTACTGTTCATTTTTTACAGATTGCCCTGGTAGATTCGACTTTTGTCAAAGCAGATTAACAGCAAGGCATTCATAAAACATTTTGTCGTATGGTAGCATGGACTGAGCTTTTCACTTACAATAGATGGCTGAGTAAGCTATCAACATGTGCTATCGTATGTAATCAAGCTTGCTAGATTAAAAGCAGGACTTGTGCCTAGCAAACAATGCTGTATATTACTCATTGAACTTTGAGCAGCAGTTCTCTCTTGTCAGGTTTTATTAAAATATTCACATGCTTCCAAAACGAAACAAAGGTCCACCGGCGTCTCTTGGGGAGAAGAGGTGGGATCGGTTGCATTCAGTTGCCATTTGGTTGGAGATGTCGTACAAAATCCTCACACACTGAGCATGGCTGAACTATAAAAAGCTTTCAGCCAGAAAGGAGGTCTTTGTTACACAAAGTCTCTGATCCCTCCAGCACTCACCAGACATGGTTACATCACGTTCTCAAAGAGCTGTAAGGATCTCATGATGTTGTCATCCTAAAAGCAATGAGAAAACATTTTCATAAAACCAGCACTGACAAGCACATCTCGCACCTTTGCATGGCACAGGAGGGGCTCTGCAGCTGCTACTGCAGGCAACAGCCTTGCTTTCAGAATCCTTTTCATCCTCGATGAGCTTGATCAGTGATCAGGTCCTGATTCAGCAAAGAGGTTGTCTCTTACTTTGGCACTTTAGTTGGTTTGAGGCATGCAAGCACAGGATCTTCTCCTAAGTGTGACATTCAGCATGGGCTGTGCTTTACTGAAGAAAACCAGGCATTGGCATTGAGCCGGTGACTGTACTGAACCCTCAGACTTCAGTGCCCAACTGCATTTCATTGATCCTGAATATGCAAATATACACTTAGCTAATATGCATCAAAAGTCCAAATGAAATTGCAGGTTTTGAACTGATAAGCAACCTGCCTTGAAGGACCACTTCATCCCAGAAACAACCAGCTCAAACCCAAAGTACATGCAATCTCAGGCTCTCTGAAGTTCCTAGATCCAAATGAGAAAGTTGGAGATGCACAAGGGAAATCCCAGATTGTTTCTCATGAAGTCTTGAAATTGTACTTCAAGGTAATTTCAGTTATTCCAAAAGTTAGAATAACTGTTTGTCTGGAACATGAAAATAATTTTCCATCCATGTTGAGCAACTTAAGAGATCTAGTGCATCTCATTCCTCTATTTTATTTTGAGGCTGCATCCATCTATCTCACTTCTAACACAGTTTGGTGGGTACTAGTATTGCCATGCATGGGAAATTAACCATCCTCTCCAAAGCAATGCTAGGAGTTCACTGCCACATCCTCAGAAATGGCAGAGGTGACCACTATGGTGCACTTTGGTTAGTTTTTCATAAAGAAAAAAAACCAAACAAACCCTTAATATTGCAGGGCTCGCTCCTATATGCCAGGAGACCACACATGACAGTGCAGCAGACTGCACAGCTCCTAGTGCAAGTAAGTCAACAGAAGGAACCAAAGCCAAACTAAGGCAGAGCATTAAACAAACTTTAACAGTAAAGTAAAGCTGCTTCAATACTGATACCACTAATCATACACATTTTCCTGAAGGCAAATTATGAATGTGAAGAATAATACACAACACAAATGACCAAATTAAAGATGATGCCAAAAATAAACTAAACAATCAGGAGGGACCAAGAATGAAGTAACTGAAAAAAATTAGCCTTGTATTATGCACCTGCTAACAAGGATTTTGCTGCCTGAAGTCCCTGACCGAGAAGTAACCTGGATGTTGCCAGAGCCAGACTCAACACAGAAACAGCGGGAAGCCAGCCTAGCCCTCCACACTGAGCATCTTCCCATTGCTCAGGTACAGAAGAGCTGTCTGACGGCAGAACAAGATATTTCCAGGGAAAATAAAATACACAGGAGGGCTGGTATGCAATTATTTGCACCAATGTAAACTTTCTAAAATGCAGAGTCCATTATTGTACTCATTAAATATTAGAGATATCTCTGAGCAAACATTCACACAGTTAATTACAGTCTTAAGACAACAGACACTTGGCCAGTTGCATGTTAACGCAGATGCTTGTCTTTGTGCCAGTGCTAAAAATGCCAGCAAATATTTATTACAGCCAACATAATGTATGGAATTTACAAGAGGGAGCTTATTTCCAAAACATGAAAAAAAAAATCCTTGCTATGATGACAGCATTTGCTTTTAGTGTTTAACCATGAAAACATCAATTGGTTTTATAAGTCAGTGCTGTAACTACAAGATTTTGAGAGACCGTTGACTCTGGGCAGTTCCAGCAATGTGGTACCTGCTAATGACATCCAGGGGCAGCACACAGAGGCAGTATCAGCCTCTTAAAAAAAACCCCAACAAACCAAACCAAAAACACCACCAAGAAAAAAATAATCTAAGGAAGGTTAATGGCATTATGAGCTTTCTCTAGAGTTATCTGCTTGTCTATAGAATCAGGTACTGCAGTTCACTCAGGAAAATAAAAGCACTGGCCACCAGCGCTGGAAATGAAGAGGCCCTCTCCCGTGATTCACCTAGCCCAACTTCCCTATTCAGTAACAGACTTCACAAAGCACCACCAGAAACTCAGTCTTGAAGCTGGCTGTTTCACAAAGCAAAGGAAACCTGGGATCCTGAGCAGCATCTTGTTTAAAATGGAGTTTGTCCAAAGGGAAAGCAAATGCTGTGGCATGAGCTACACCTTTCATTACAGTTATAATTTTGTCCTTACCTCCTGACACGATTCAATAAACTCATCTAAAGTTACAACACCATCTTTGTTTTTATCCATTTTCTGCAAAACAATAAAAAAAATTGTTTCCATAGGTAACACTGTAATTATAGTATAATATCTTATTTGATGCAAGCTGAATAAACCTAGGGAACTTTACAAGCTTAGATTACAGACTCAGTGTCATTAGGTAAATTTGCTGACTGCTAAGGACTTGTATACTCTGGTATTTGGAGCACTTTTGAGGTCATCTCTAACTATTCCTTCTTTGACATACACAGCAACTTCTGCCCTCATTACATTGTTTATTCACTGCCTCACCATCCAGCCATATTTCTGTCTCTCTGGGCAGTTGAGAGAAGCAGCACAGAAGGGCTGCAACACATGCAGAGGCTTCAGACTGGCTGCATGGAGCACATCCCAATGCAAAGGGTCAGGCTAAGAGACAAATGGGATAATTTGGAGTCATGATGCTGTAGTGTTAGGCTGAATGGCTGCTAGGGTTTATTTTGGGATATATGGTGGGACATAGGATTGAACTTGTGGCTCATGTTACAGTAAAGTGTATCAGTGCATAGCTCTAATATTAAGAAAAACACATAAAAAATCAAGTACCTGGAAGAATACTTCTACATGCTGCCTTGGAGCATCCTCCTTGAGCACTGGATACGTGTACTTTCCCATCATATCATAAATCGCCTTTACAATATCCATCATTTCCTGCAGTAGCGGCGTGCCAGCACAAACACAAAAGGGAAATGAATAGAAATGATAGCACATTTCTTTCTTTTACTACCCTTTTCCTCACCCTCCTCCTATTACAAAACAGCACAGAGAATGCCTATACACATGCATGAACACAGATGAATCATCACATACAAGTTCATCTATAAAACTGAAGTGCTTCTTTCTGACTGTGCCATGACTTTGCCACAGCTGCGTTGCAGGTGCCTGCAGTGCTCACGTCCCTCCCCTGGCCAGGCAGCTTTGCAAGACGCGTGCCCTGACATGGCAGCTGCTGGGGATGGTGCTGGCTGGGCTGCTAGCAGCATACTCAGTCCTGAGCACTGTGGCACCAACCTTGCCCCAGAGCCTCCTCCAGGGCCAGGGACATTCTGGGAACCCAGCCCTTCTCCACACTTTGCACAAACTGCCACACGCCTCCATGAACAGCACCAGTAAGCACAAACCCTCCAGGCACGCACAATAATTTTGAGAAGATAGACCAAGATGTATTTGCAAAATATTCAGGTTACCATACTCAAAACCAAGGCGCCCCACAAAGGGAACAAGCAATAGCAGATAAGAAGACAAAACCAGATGATAATGCAGGATTTGGGAGTTGTACTGGGAGTTTGCAGTGCTTCAGGTGAGCCCACACTGTGCCTCCCTTGTGCTTCAGTCACCAAGTAGGTATCGTCACCGTCACCCTCCCCTTCGCACAAGTTGTGTTGCTCATGTAACTAGGATTTTGTTCATGGCTAAAGCAATCCATTAAAGGCACTACAATATACGAAAATATGTCTACAAAATCATGGAATATAAGACCACTGCGTGACTTTACTTAGACACAAATAAATGTTCAAGTCCACTCTGATTTGCATTTAATTAGCTGCATGCAAATTTAATTGTGCTGTGCAACAGTCAGCTCTCTTCAGAAATCAACATTTGTCAAACACCCTTACCTCCTTGTTTATATAGCCATCCTTATTTATGTCATAGAGATTAAACGTCCATCTTAGCTTTTCATGAACAGTTCCCCGCAACAGAATGGACAACGCCATCACAAAATCCTGGTTCAAGGCAGAGAGAGAAATGTGAATTTTCTTAACATCCTCTTCTAAGTCACCTTCTTTATATAATGCCAGTCATAAGACTTATCTTTTTAGGATAGAGCATATGGTTATCAATCTTCTGACTCCCTCTTCCAGAAATGTGTCCTCTCTGACCAAACTCAATGAACACAGCATCCACTAAGATGATCTGAGAATTGTCACACTAATAAATGTGTATGAGGTAACCACAAAAATCAGAAAAGTCCTCAAGTACTCAACTGCAGCCACTGCAAAGGCCAAGCTTATGATATGGGTTAGGCAGCTTAGCAAGGCTGGAAAGGCAGGAAGATCTAATGGGTGCTGCAGCCTTAAACTCTCCTAAGTTCTGGAGTGAGGGGTGCGAAAACAGCATGGGCATAATAGCAGAACCAGTCCAAGTCAGGCAGACTTAGATCCTGAAGTCAATAGGACAGTGGCTGCTCTGGCTCCTTGGACTGTGCCAGGAACAGCACAGTATGCTCAAGGCCAGAAGCTGGGACACTTTCCTCGCTCCCCATCCAAATTTATCATGCTCTAAATGCTAAATACTGCATGAACGCAAGTATGGCAAAATACATCTCTGGTTTTTACGAGCACTGTGAGATGTTCCAGCGGCAATTTCCCTCCTAGAAATGGTGTGCTGCAAGGAGACACTCAGACTGCTGCTGTCTGGTTAAACACAGCTGGATTCTAACTGCAGCAGTGGTAGCTGGTGCTTTCTTACCAGACCAAGGGTACTAGTGAAGGAGGAGGAAGAAAATCTAGCATTTTCTCTGTGTCCACCTTGAGAGAGAGACAGAAAGATCCCAAACTCCTCCAATACAGGTTTTGTTCTCTGGCAAAATCGTCAGACTTGACCAGATGTGATTCCCACCACTAATTACTCAGTCTGGGGCACAACATTTTAATTGTATGTTTTGTGTACGGGAAAGTTATTGCTTCCAATAGCTTTGATTTATCGCTTATACTGCACGGTGACTCAGGCATTGTAAGTAGCATCACTACAGGGATTTATAGTACAGGCAGAGCTTCAAGCTAACAGAGCTATACAGTTCCTGATACTTCCTTTAACGTACTTAGCCCTTCCTATGTTATCTCCATTAGCTCTGCATGGGGCAGTGCATCGCTCCTTAGAAACTTTTGGTCCTTCTTCCCGAGGCTCAGAGGAATTTGAATTTGCTGAACAATACAAAAAAAGGGGACAAACCGCTTATATTTGGCAACCACTAAATAGACAGGTTTGCCAGGAAGGAAAGAGGAAAGCTCAGCACTTTTTTTTAAAAAAAACCCCAAACTTATCTAAGCAGTTTGCTGCATCTCAGTCTGTTTAGTTTTCTGGAAGTCTCTAACTACTGAGTAGCTGCTATATGTGAAACTCCCACTGCAGCCGTCACTACAGACACACATATATATATGGTAACATTCCCATTTTACATTTGATAGATTAACTAATTTTTCAGTCTTACCTGGAAATTACTGGAGTTATTAGACATAAGATAGCAAATGCAAGACTGTCTAGGATTTCTAGTTTTATGATCACAGTAAACTGTCTTCAAAATTATGAAGTTCATCCTCCACAGGTGTATGACTTAACATACCCCTTTGCTGCACTCCAACTATATGTGTGAGCTTGAAGGATGGCTATTTGTAGCCACAGCAACAAGCTTTTTAGTGAAAGGGTGGATTTGGTTTCCCTAGGAACGAAGTACTGGAGATGCTTGTTCAATATATCAAATAAGCTAAAAAACTCCCATATTCCAGGAACATACATTTGTAAGCCTGCAATGCATGATGACTGAAGATGACACAAAATATACTGGCTTTTCTTTGACATCCAAATTATCTGTGCAAATCACTGGATGTGACTGTCCTCAACCTTTCCTCTTTGTTACATAAATCTCTGCAATTTCTCCCCGTGGTACTGAATAATGTGATCTGTATGTTTCTTTAGTGAAAGGAAACATGCAACTCCATCCGCACAAACTAAGGTGAACCAGATTTTAAAATATCAACTGATTTTTAGACTGAAACCTCTAACCCATAATTCAGCAAGTCCTACTAGTTTACAATGAAGAACGGATGGAGAAGCTTAAAAACACAGAACTGAGAAAGAAGCAGCAAAGGAGGATGCAAAACAATTACCTCAAACTTCACGGAGCCATTTTGTGCAGTGTCAAAAGCATTAAAGAGATAATGTGCATACATGCTAGCATCTGTAAAACAAAAAGGGCACTGATTGGTACAACAGTTCATTATACACCAATGGCTCTAAACAACATTCATGACCTTATTTTCCTTTTGTATAAAAACCAGCCTTGTAACATTGCCAGATATTCTATGAACTAGTAAGTGTTAACCTGGACTTGCATACTCCCCACACCCTCCCTTAAAACAGCCTGGAAATGTCAAAGCTTTTATTACAGTAGAAATGATCTGGATTATGGGGCTGTACTTGAAAGAATGAGCAACAAAACCCTCCCAAGAGTGTCTCTGGGGCACATGGAGTATTAGCTCTGGTGGGAAACACAGCAAAAGCACCAGAGTGATTGCAGCATGTGTGCATGCTTCCTTCCTCTACCTTTCGCTTTGTGTGAGATACAGCAGAGATCCCCAGGCACTGCCCAGCTTCAGAAGGGTCTAGTTCCAGTAACTTGAGTTTGGCCCATGACTGTTAAAGAGCGATCTCATCCGAAGCATATTTTCAGGTTTTTGAATCTTAAACTACTGGTTTTAGAAAATCTTTCCTATTGAGAAGAACAGTTTCTGTGGCCATGTGAAGAATGGCTGTTAACTGGAAAAAACCAATAATGGTATGCAGAAAAAAAAAAAATCAAATAGATCTATGACCTTATGACTTTCACTGGCCTGCTCTCTGCTCTGGAGGCAATTCACGCTGCTCTCTGTATTACTAGAGCCCGACTTTTCAAGATGGAAGGAACTGACCTTAAATTCCCTTAATTATTTCATTGCTATTCTAGCAGCCATGCACTTTTTTCTCTTCTATTCTTTGCCTCTAGCACACAGCATTAGTCAAGCCTGAGTCTTCATACTCAGTGTATGGGTATTCAGGTGAAGCCTGGTGCCCTGTGCTATGACCCAGCATCTCTTTGCTCTAATCCCTATGAAGTGATTAAATATTTTCGTATTAATTCAAATCCAGGAAAGTGTAATAGTGTGCAGAAAAATCAAATACTTAAGTTACTGTCATCCATAAGGACAGAATACATTGGACTGGAGGGAAAAAAAAATTGTCTGCTACATTTTTAAGAGAAGGATTCTGAAATAAAATGGTTCCAGAAGAAAACCACAGAATTACTTATGGGACAGCCCTACTAAAAGCTAATTATACAAAACTAATCAATGAACTAAAAATATTAAAGTAGAGGTCTTATTTCATTAGGGTATGAGGTACATTAAGAAATACTAGATCACTGGTATCATTTGATGACAGATTAGCAAAAATGAAAACTTGTTGAGGATAGGAGCCCTATGTAACAAAAATATCACAAGCTTGGGATGACACCACACAAAGTTTTTATAATTCAGAGCTATTTTACTACCTCTGGGATGTACAAGTTTATCTGTAGAGAGAGCCATAAAAGTGCAAAAATCTCTGAGGAATCTGAAATCTTACGATTTATGACACTAAGGTTATTCAAACACTTTGGAAACCAAGTGAAGGAAAACAATGTAAAATACAAAATCACATCTGCCATTAAACTGATTTATTATTAAGCATGGTTGTACTACCATCATCATTAACCAAGGCAGAATCACATTTCAAGGGAATGGGACACACACACAAAAAAGGCAAGTCTCTGTCAGCCTCAGTAGAGGGGAAAAAAATTATCTATCCATGAAAAGATGAAGTTTCTATGCCTAATTGTTTTTCACACACGGGAAAGAAAGAATCACCTGAAGCATGTCACTTAAGGGAGTTAGTGCAGTTACTTGGGGTAACTGGAGTTCCTTGGACTTACTGGAACTTAGGTTGAGAACACAAAACACATCCAGAAACACAGTAAGAATACAAATACTTACATTTTTGCACATTTGTTAAAAAAAAGAAATAGACTGGTTGCTTTTTATAACAAAACCAAAAGCAACCACAACAGGAGATCATTGAGTCCATACCGAAATTTAATGTAAACTTTTTAAAGGTGTACACCTTTGAGGTCACACATGTTATAAAACATAAGCATAACGCGTTTTGTCTTCACATTTAATTGAAAAAACACTTGACTCATTTCTTGCAATTTGAGAAGAGTATCACTGCAGAACATATCCAGTTAGAAGAACATATAGATTCATGATGTTTTTAAAAGGGAAGAACATACATTATTTGAGAGGTTTAATACAATACTATAATATTCCAATAAATGATGTGGCCCTATCTTATTCACGCAAACACCAAAAATGATCATTTCAGGCAGCTAGGAGTTCACACATCAACTAAGAACTGCTTTAAGAATTTTAGGGAGGTTTAGATTAATTTGCAGGCCAAAATGAGTCTGGGACTCTTCTGTGCTAGATACTACATGCACAGCAGTCCAACAGCAGGGAAGCAAAAACATGCTGAGGCGAAGTGATTTAGCTTTCTGCCATCCAGAAAGTCCGTACAAAAAACCCCCACCAATCCCGAGTTTCTATTTCAGACTTAGGGAATACAGAGCTGCCAACTAGGGGCAATCTTTAATGTGGGTTTGCCTATGTTCTTGTGAAGTAACTGTTCAAAGGGCCTAACTTAATTTTATTACCTTGGTGTTTGTGTTTCTGCTTAAGACCCTGCAAAGCGTAAGCTCAAATTCACATTTCTTGCACAGATTATCTGAATTAGCTTTGCAGCCAGCTGGCAGTAATGAATGTTAAGGCATGCTTCAATAAACCCGATGAACACAAAGTAGTCTGCTTACCTCCGTGAGGAAAAAACTGTGCATAGATCTGTTTAAATGTCTCTTCATTAACAACCCCACTAGGACATTCCTGTTGGAAAACCAAAAAAGTAAAAAAAAAAAGTCAAGAAAAACCCCCAGCTCTGTAAAGGTTCAGTTGCAAAACCCTACAAGCCCGAAGAGAGCAATTAAACAAATCACATTCCTGTTCTCACAGTGCTCTGGATGCACAGACTGCAGCTGAAGAAATTAAAATAATTCAGGCTTCAATTTCATCTTAGGCATCTCATAGACACGGTTCACCATTATTAACATTTCTAACAGTGGTTTCAGCAGTGTTTAATTGCTGCTTTATAGGACAACCTAGAAAGGCAGCTCATGCCTGCTGTCATACGAAGCTTTCATCTAATAATTACAAACAATGTTAGTGCCAGCTAACACTTCCCTGCCCGATGCCTCCACATATATGAATTCATTAATCCTCAGAAGAAGACCGTAGCCAGATACCTGACACCAGCTCCATGGAGGCTAACAGTACATACTACACTTGAAAGTCATTACAACCAAGCATTAGTAATAGGTTGCAAAAAAACAGATCATTTTTAACCTGTTTATCTGCTCAATCTTCTGTAAACTTCTGAGAAGCCAGACTGCCCACGCAAATTTTGTAACCTGGCAATCTGTGGGGTTATTTTATTTTTAAGCTCTGGTACTAGAATGTAAGGCTTTTCATTTCACTTTTGGCTGCTTCAAATAAGGGCAAACACTTAGGAAGAGGATGGCAGATTTTCTGCCCTGAACTTCCTGACCTACTAACTAGCCCCACGGGGTGGCATTCAAGAAGGGAAAAGGGGATCCCTGCCTGGAGGGCTTGCGCTTGCTCTGCTACAGTGGAGCAAAATCCAAGCCATTATGGTAGTTTGGGGTAGGAGGTGCTCCCTAGGCATGTTTGCAGAGTCTGGACAGCACCCATGAAAAAGGACATGTGGCAGGTACGAGGAGCTGGGCCACCAGGTGCTTTATCCTGTAAGTGATATCTGAACCGAGGTCCTGGGGTCTTACCCAACAGGATTCAGGACCACAGGCAATGGAAGAGACAGGAGAAAAATGGCACAAAAACTGTCTCAGTTTTGTGAATCCTGTTTCCTTACTCTCAACCCATTTTTAAAACTTAAATTACTTGGACAATTCAAGTAAAATTCAAGAGCAAATTTTGCTTAACTATGGTGCTTTACCACTCCCCCCAGCAGCTCAGTGCTGTTATAACACACATTCAAGCGTCACGGAGAGCCTCGGGCACTGCTATCTGACTAGGTGAAGTTTTCAATTATATAGAGTATTTCCCAGTTGATAACAATCTTCCTCACAGATTTGCCTATCAACCAATCTTGAAAACTATATCAAAGCAAAACAGTAATATAAGCATGGCACTGATCCTTTTTCACCGAGCACAGAATTACAGATATAGAGAAGTCAGCTTTCTCCCACATTCAGAAATACCAACTGGCAGAGACACCGAAGGTCTGTCCCCCCTGTAGGCATTTGACCCCATTCACAGCAATTTAAATTCCTTAGCCCCAGCTGAGGCAGCACGTCAGGTGGAGGGAAGAGGGAGCAAGAGCAGTGCCACTCCTGGGAGGATGTGCTGAAGATGGATTATCTGAGTATGTCAACTCAGACTCTCTCACGAAACTGGTGCATATATCTTGGTTTGATGCTTGTGATTAAGCTGAAGGCCAGATTTGGGATCAAGAAAGTTCATCCGTTACAGGCAGTACACTTCCTCTTTCTGTGTCACACTATGATTGCTGTCCCCTTTTAATACAGGTCCTTCAGCACATAGTTTCACACATATATAACCCTTTGCACAAGGAATCACCAGCTTTCAATTTTTGCAACCTGACTCCTGCTACCTTGCCCAATAGCCCTGAATTCCTATACATATATGGAGAGAAAACAGTTGATCCCAATGCTTTTTCTACCTGCCACTTGTGATTTTGTAAATCATCCCTTCGTTATCTCTTTCCCAGGCTGAAGCATCCCACCCTGAGAAGCATGGAAGGCACTGAGCATCCTTTGACCATCCCTTCTCTGCACCTTTCTATTTCCACCGTACCCTTTTTGAGACAGCAGCCCAGAATTACAAGCCACGTTCAAGATGCCAGTACACTGTTCATTAGTCCTGCAGCATAATAGTATTCTCTCCCTGTTTCTCTGTTCTTTTCCTAATAAATCCTAGTTGGAATTATTGGAAAAATGGGATGGAAAATGTCTTCCAGATCTTTTCAATAATGCTAAGACTAATCCAGTCTACTGGCTAACACTAGCTACTTTTCAGGCAGTATATCACATTTTCCTCCTGGACTTACCCTCTAAAGTAATGGAGTTCATTCTTCTGCACTAACACATCCAGGAGAGCCACACCTTGCTGCAGATTTAGATGTTGCAGTAGCACAAGCAAGCTTGGGGTTGAACAGAAATGACTGAAAGAAGACACAGCTGCACAGCCTTTACATCCAAACTGCCATGTTACACTACCTGGAATATGCCTGCTACACCACACGATGCTGTTGGGGTGGAAACTCCCTAATGTCCCTATAAGTTTGTGCTTGGCCTGGACTTCATTAAAGAACAGGCTTGGGAGTGTGTGTCACGGCCCTAGGCAGGTTTGCAAAGCAGGGCAGAAGCCAGTACCGCCATAGCTACTCACTACCAGCAGCCCGGAGCTGCCGCAGACGCATATGCTCACTGCGTGTTACACCCCACTGCAGATCCAAGACACAGAAATGCTTATTTTGGTAGCATTACAGGTTGCTGAATTTGAGATGAGAAAACTTAGGAAGTCTAAGAAAATCCCTTTGAACTGGTGACACAAAAAGCTGGAGGAAGATTCAAGCCAATGACTTATTTATTGATGAGTTCTTTAGATACCTTTTAAGAACAAAAAGGACTTTGACAAGAAATTCTTCTACCATGAAAAGCCTATAAAGGAAAAAAGGCATTTTTTTCAAGCCTCTGATCTGCCAGGCATCACCTGCTGCTGATGTGCATTTACTAACCACAGAAAACAGAATGAACAAGAGAAATCACTTTATCCTGTGCAAGTCATAGGAGAGCAAGGAGGTGTACTTCAGGTGACATTAGATGCAGTTCCTAATCACATACCTGTTCGCTATTGAAATTAGGGTGATTGGATCAGAGTTCCTTCCTCCAATGCAGAAGAAATCCTGCTGTCTTCTACCCACTATTTCGGTAGAAAACCATCAGTGATTTGGGATAGATTTGAACTAAATAAACAATAATTTGTTGCTTGAAAAGCCCTGAAATTATCTTTTACTCTATGTCTTCACATCCCGACAACTGTCCTTCCACAGGTTATGTTTAAGTGTCTCAGATAAAACCCAAACCTGGCACTGTGGTCTTGACCTCGACGGCACCGCCCCTTCTCCAGCATCAGTGTTCAAGGCTTGTTCCACAGCAAGGGGTTGAAAAGACCAAATGGGCTATCTAAAGCAAGTGGCTGCAGGACCAGACCTTGGTTTTTCATTTACAGACAAAACTAACAAAACTTTCTAATTCTGTATGGCAAAATTCCTGGTTAGATGAGCATCCTCATAACGTTCCAAAGCTCCTAATAAAACAGCATTGCCTGGTTTCTTTGTCATGAGAAAAGTGGCTACTTTTTCATCTATTTGTGCCACTTCTAATAAGCTAGAAATCATTAAAAGAAGAATAATTAATAGAAGGTAATAGCTACCGTAAAACTAAGTTTGTGTTTCCTAAAGCTTGTAATTTAATATACATTAAATAAATAATCTGATATTTATTAATGGTGTCTTTTAATCATGGGCCAGACCAAGTACCTTATCAACAGCCATTCTTGGGTAGAAATTTTCTCCTCGGTCACTGGAACACTGCTGCTGCTCCAAGACCCACACTGGGCCTTTGCAGAACTTCAGAGTATTTGACCACAGTGTCATTCTTTTTAGAGCCAAGCCTAGCACAGCACCTAACCACCCTTTCCAGCATAGTGCTACTGGCTAAACACACTAAGTGAGGATGTATTTCTTTCTATCATCTTGAGAAATTATCTTCACTAAGAACCACCACTTCACATGTTTAAAGACAGTTTATAAATGTAGGGACTAGTCATTATTTTCTCTGTACTTTCCACAACGTTATATTAGTAGCCCTTGTTTACTAAGAGCCGTGGCCCGCCACTAGCAACCCTGAGAATGAGGTTTAAGTCTGCGAAGGGCAGGCGCAGAGGAGAGGCTGCTGCTGCAGGCGCTCTCCCCACAGAGGCACAGTCTCATGTAACAGTTTTGGCCATTGTGCCTGATTACATTTTCTGAATTTCCACATGATCCTTATTGCTTCTGATGCTCCATCTGGAAGCCAAATGAAAGTTTGCATCAAACCACCAGGAGTGCTGGGGAAAGGCAGCGCTGACATTGATCAGCCTGTTTAGCTCTCTATAACTGGATTGCTTTCAGACACATATGCTAGTACCAATTCATTTGCACTTAATTGATCACAATTTTGTTTTTATAAGAGTCAAATAATGCTCAAGAGGCCTCATTAGTGCTACAGTACGACTTAATACAGCTGACTCAAAAGAAATCTCTCTTGCAAAAAGGAGCAGGTAAGCTTAGTGTCAGTTTAAATTCCATTGAAGACAAAGGTTTACTCATTCAAGAAAAATTTCTTGGCAGTACAAAAAAGCACGGTCCTTTACCATAACATTTGTAAGGCCTTCCTCTGATACCAGGGTTTTAGATTTCAGGTGAACACCTCTCATTTCTTCAACCTATGAATTCTTTTAAAACGTCCAACAAGAACAGCAAACGTTTTTTGGTATTGTTGTCAAGCACAGAAACAACCCCTCATTTTCCAAAACCTAACTATCGAGCACTGGCATTGACAGCACGAGGCATATATATGAATCTACTGTCTCAGACTTTTAAAATACTAAACCACAAAAGAACTGAATCCACATAAAAAAAATAAATAAAATTAAATAAACGTTGCACTTGCTGTTCTTTCTTCTGCTGGCATCAGAAATTAACTACATTGATTGCTTTCAAAGATGTGCAATGTGGACAAGCAGGGATCAGCAGCAGACCTGAAGTCAGGCTAAACATAACCTGCCCATCAGACTGTTCTCAGCTAACTTGGACAGAACATGAAAAGGGGTACTTGGGAGGGTCACAGTTTGCTAAACTAGAGGTATTAAGTTAGCTGACCACAGACAGACTCTAATATATTCTCCTTCAAGATCCACAATCCAGATTTGCATTCACACATCCCATGTGTTTTGTTGCTCTTACTACATTCTTCCACTTTGGAGATATTTTGGGGATTAATAAAGTATCAGAACATATCTATCTTGCTCATACTGCTTGCTTTAGTCTGAAAAAAGCCTGATTTGCTACAGATTATTACATCTTACACTACACTCCATTACAGATTTGCTAAAATACTCACACTAAATCAAGGTAAGGATGTCTCCAACAGCCCCTCAATTATTTGGTTTGTCCATTTTCTGATTTAGTATTAGAAAATTATCCCTTGCAACTAAGAACCATTTCCCCTAACAGCACAGCCCCCCCCCACAAATTGAGAAAAAAATCCCATAAAAATCCCAATCCTTTTAAATCCATGCACTCAATTCCAAAGAATGCAAGCCATTATAAACATGGTCTAAATGGGAACTCTAATATATTCTCCTTCAAGATCCACAATCCAGATTTGCATTCACACATCCCATGTGTTTTGTTGCTCTTACTACATTCTTCCACTTTGGAGATATTTTGGGGATTAATAAAGTATCAGAACATATCTATCTTGCTCATACTGCTTGCTTTAGTCTGAAAAAAGCCTGATTTGCTACAGATTATTACATCTTACACTACACTCCATTACAGATTTGCTAAAATACTCACACTAAATCAAGGTAAGGATGTCTCCAACAGCCCCTCAATTATTTGGTTTGTCCATTTTCTGATTTAGTATTAGAAAATTATCCCTTGCAACTAAGAACCATTTCCCCTAACAGCACAGCCCCCCCCCGAAATTGAGAAAAAAATCCCATAAAAATCCCAATCCTTTTAAATCCATGCACTCAATTCCAAAGAATGCAAGCCATTATAAACATGGTCTAAATGGGAGGTATTGAATTACTGAGCTCAAACCTCTGTCGTTGTTGATCACTTCATTAGTCATCGATTCATCAGTTTTAATCTCAAAAATAGTTTCTCATTCTCCATCTTCCTGTTCCATAATTGTTCACCAAACTTTACTCTTCCAGGGTGTGGAAACTTTCTTCTAATTCCAGCCTATGCCTATTCATGGCCATTTTGTTCCTGTGCTGATATTGCCTTTCAGCTCAAACAATTCTCTCTCCTGATATTAAAGGCAGAAAGTATCACATTTTATTTTGTTAAGCTAAACCAAGGCAAGATCCACCAGAGATTCTGTTGGGTTTTTGTAGTGTCTGTTAGCTTGCTTTTGCAGAACCACAGCCAAAGCAGTCAGGCCAAATGCCTCATGTTAATCTGGCTCCAGCCTACAGCAGCTACCTCCAAGGTGCAAAATAGACCCTTCTGCATAACACAGAACGCACCTTGGGGACAGAGATAACTGCTAAGATAATAGTGAACTTTTGGTCCTGGCATCAAGAGATGGTGGACAAGAGGACCCTTCCACAACTTGAAAAGAAAGCTAAAGGCAAAGAGAGAGGGGACATTTGGCCAGGCAGCAAGGACACTGGCCTGGTTAGCATGCTCTGCTTCTCTGGAGTGGCAAAGGATTTTAATTTGGTGGAAGCCTCCATCAGTCTGGTGCAGAAACACCAGACCTGACCAATGACACACTCGGTAGAAACTGGGAAGGTTTGGAGGGAGCAGGGAAACAAATTTCAGAGACAAAGAAAGAGCAGGAATAAAAGTACCGAGAATTAGGACCCTGGTCAGCTGGGCTACCCCAGGCTGCGCTGAACTGCCATTGGCCAAACACCATCCACGTTCATGAACATCTAACCTTCAGCTCCTGTGACTGCAGCCAGGCTGAGCAGGGCCCCATTCTCTCCACGTCCATTACAAGTGCCTGTAAATGGCCCTGTTGATAATCCTGGTGTTGCCTCATGATTAAACTCTGCGATCGCCGAGAGCAAGCAGTAAGTACAAGCCAGAGGGAGGAAAATGATTGTATTCCCACAGGGATTTTGAATCTCCAGATGGCACTGTAACATCATCCCAAAAAGCAGACGGTTTGGTACAATAGCAAATATGGTAACAGCTGAGTCAGTTTGCCTGCTGTGCATAATTACTCATCCTATTGAAACCATGATTTACAGGCTACAAATGCTAAAAGCTGCCCTTTCATTTCAATTTAAACCTTCAATATTAAAGCTTCATGCATATTGTGTGCATAGCAGCTGGAGGAAAACAGACTGCTTTGTCCTAAAAACCTGATACAAAGCAAGATCTTACCAGCACTGCCAATTAATACCGAGACCTTCAGTGAGGTCTTAGGAAAAGGTTTAGGTCACAAGTTAAATGCACTTGTCCATCATGGTTCTTGCCCTGGGAGGTAATGCCTCTGTACTACAAAGAAATAGCAAAGCTGGGAGGGACAAGAGGTAAATGTCAGATCTGCTGCAAGAGTTGCAAGGGTGCCTCTCTGTTTTGCATTGCAGCTGCTGGCACAGCCAGCTCCTCCTCTCAGCATGGAGCAGTGCTCTCCCATGTAGGATTCCCACAAAACACAGCAATACAGAAGGCATTTCAGAGATCTTAGCAAAACACGGCAGTTAAGAACTCTCTGAGTTTAGTTTTCCCACTGTAGGCAGTCATGTCACATTATACTGTACATTAACTTGTCAAGCTCTGTCTCAAAAGCTGTATGATTTCTTGCTAACTGCCCAAAACATGAAGAGGTTTCAGAACATCAGCCTTCAGTAGTTACAAAACTTCGCATATGAAATGACCACCTACGTGCAGCAAAGGCTATACAAACACAACACATATACCAAACAGAAAAATATAGAAAGCTGAGCTATGCCTTGGCTCGCCTAGATGAGCAGTGAAACAAAGGATGAAACCACCGGACTCCTTGGAGAAGTCAAGTATACATTGGAGATGTGATCCTATCAAATTTCAAGAATCTGTCAAAAATAAAAGGCCCTTCTCAATGACCAGCAGGTTTCCCTCAATACTGCTTGTATTTAAGGTAGCTCAGCTTTCTTTTGGCAAGTTTTTACTCAACAGACTTGACTTTCTCTTTCCAAGAAATTTCAGCATTTCACTGTGACAGTAGCTGAAATGCTGGCACTGTCCTGCAAGACAACTTAAAAAACACACTGTATTTATTGAGCTAGCTCGATACTGATCTATTAATCATCATAAAAACATCAGCTGGCACAAACCACCTGGGTGACTAAATCCAGACCCTCAGGCAACCATGTAATGAGTATTCATTCTTCAAGGTCCATGAAACATCTGCTCCATATAGCCTCAAAATTCCCTATCTGTTTCTTTTTATTATGATGAGTCCCTAAGAGGCAGCAGCAGGTGACCTAGAAGCTGAGGCACACGGAGCCGCAGACTCCATGCTACCAGGGAGAGGATGGCTGGAACGCTGGTTCACAAAGAGGGGCACAGTGGTGCTCCGCACACACAGTCGTGCCAGCTGGCATGTTTCCTGCTTTCACCTACATCTGCAGCCTCTCTTGTCTCCTCAGTCTTGATATCCATTTACTTTTGATTTCTTTTTGGTGCCTGCCACTCCAGCCTTATTCTCTACTTACACAGGACCTTATAGTCCTAATGTGCTCTAGTAACGTACAAGAACAAGATTTCTCCAGCTAGAGAAAGGATAAAAAAACCCCCAACATGCTGGGCAGCTAATTGCAAGCACACAGTACAGCTCACATTTGAACATGAGGATCTGACAGCAAGAATTAAATAAGGAACCATAAAAACATTTTTGGGTTATCTTGAAGTACTGGCACAGTTGAAGAAATTGCAGTGGGCTTACTGACATTTGGGGAACAAATTTAATGAGAATATTATGTACTGAATATTCACCCAAACCCAGTTTTAGGCAGATTACAGTGTCATAAATATTAGATGGAGAGGCAGATTGCGCTCATTTTTGCTGTAGTAGCGGAGATCTAGCACAAAGCTCCTAATGTTTAGCAGGGGAATGATACAAAATGCAGCTGAGCAGTTGAGGCTGGTGGGGACATACATACTCGACTTGGTATTGTTCTTACATTTTTAAATCCTCTGTAAAGCACTTGAAGTTCTCTTTTAGTGAAATTGGTTTGTGCTTCAAGCTGTTCCAGTCCTTCGGGTCTATGGCACACTGTAGTCATTTCTAATTCATCTTCAATTTTATCTGAAAGAAAAGACAGGAAAATATTTATTTTGCTTGTTACCTTTGCTCTATTAACATGATGGATAGGACAGACTGGATTTCAAGAGCATTAGAGAAAAAAGAAACCATCAACAGAACTGATCTGGATAACTGTTTTCAACCTCTTGAAAGCAAAATAAAAGCCATATGAGTAAAGCAATAGCTCACATTTTTTACTGGGCTGCCAATTAGCTCCCCATTCACAAAGCTGAAACTGGTGGTGAGAACAGAAGGGCAGGCAGCAGATAACATTGCTCCAAAAGGCAACACCAGATAGTTCTTATCTAAATATTGAAACAGCGCGGAGGAATAGGCCTTTCAAAGTACTGGCTTTAAAAAAAGCTGTGCAAATATAAGTGAGAGAGCAGACATGCTTAAGCATATTAGACAACGACATTATACTGAGGGTAAACAGTGAGGGAACCTCTTCTGTGTGCTAACGAAAAAGCTCGCTGCAGAGGTACCAAATGTCACTTGAATCCTAAGAGAAATTCAAATGATGTCCAGCGTTGCTGAATCTGTAACGAATCCAGCCTACACTTAGATGGACTTTTGGGGGAAACAGATGAGTGATGAAAAATACTTATGCACATTTTATCCAAGAGATCACTCTCCCCCAAGGAAGAAACATACTCGAGACATATCACATCCTGTATTAGCGTAACCTCACCTCTTTTTTGATGCATGTTTTTACCTGTCAAGCCCATTTCCCCAGCAGTATAGTTAATGCCCAAATATATACAGATGCTTAGTGTATGTCAGTTTGAGATTCTTTAAACCTCAAGGACCAGATGCATGTTTAGGTTGACATGAAAATCCCATCTACATCCAAAGTTCCTTGGCATAACAGTTAACACTCACCTTATTATCAAAACCACACAACTTTTTCCCTGTAAAAGTGTTTCAGGTTATTGGGCTCAAGTATAATATAGTAATTCCTGCTGAAAGACAAGGATTTCACAAGAAATGTGCAAGGAAATGGAGGAAAGGCATGAATTCAGAGCAGACTGGCTCAGTGAAAGAACAGACCGGAATAAAGCTATCTTTTCATAAGTTAATTAATTCTGTACATACATATGAATGCTTTTAAGGGAGGTCACAAGTAAGTGAGTGTTAATGGCTAATTAACATCGGTTCATTGTTTCAATATTAAGAAATCAGTTTGAAATATTGGTGAATTCAGAACAAGCCATCCCCCTAATCTCCTGTCTGGAGTTTCAGTCAGCATTTGTGGGGCGCGAGCAGTGAAAATACAGGACTAAATACTGCGCTCAAGGTCCCTTGCACAGCATGGGAATAAAGGTAAAAGACTGTAATAGCATGGGGCAGAAGGAGAGTATCACGACCGTTTATGATGCAGAAAAAATTACTGAATCCTGGCAAGTGGCCAGAAGAGGCCTGAAGGAGACACCTTCTCCACACAAGGGGAAAACGAAGAGTCTAGAAATTATAGCTCCTGTTAGAAGAAAAGAGATGGAAAAGGATGCCTGCTACAGGAAAAAGAACAGATAATGTAAAATGAGGGGGGAAAGACATTTTCTTTGAAAGAGAACACACGCCACAAAATGAAGGAATGCAGAAAAAGCTGTAGAGAGAGAAAAAAGTGGGGAAGAAATTCCTTAAAATGAAGGAAGGGGAATGAGTGGTTGAAAAAAGGAAGAGGAAATCCATTTAGAAGAGAGTCAGGTTAGGGAGAGTCATCACTAATCCATACCTTGTATAGGAAATACCTTTTTGTTTAACTTTGGTTAACTGTAAATTACCTAAAAAGCTTTACAAAATGCGCATAACCCCAGACTCCTTCCCCTGCTGTCTCCCAATGCAATAAACAATTTACACACGACCTTGACAGTTGTTTCATTTTTCCATAGGAAGCCACGCATTTTGTGCTGTGCAGTATACGAGAAAGTTAGGGTCTGAGCCTTCCTCTGCTCTGTAAATAATTAAACATGCCCAGCTTTTCATTGACATCTGTTCATTGAGTCACTTTAAGTTATTTAGAAATCCAGTCAATGCAAAAGATAAGTGTAAAATACTGGCTATCTAGTCTTTATATCCTATAATATAATTCAACAGAGAGAGGGGGGGAAAAAAATAATCTATGCAGCCTCCTGTAAGTGGTGAGGCTAGTGAGGGAAGCCAGCCTGTTGGATTATTCTCATACTTGGTTTTATTTACATTCCTACAATGCGGCTGTTCACATGGTTTCTACTCTGGCAGGAAATATCCAGCTGAGAAAAGTCACACTCTTTGCAAAAAGCATTTTGAAATGACTAATCTTTTCTGTATTTTATTTGCCATATACTTCCTAAGCAACCAGTTTTCCAAAACACTTACTGGAATTTGTGATAGTATTCTAAAAACCAACTAATTAAATATAAAGGTCTCACTCATGGAAAACTTGCTCTATAGCTCCATGATAGCTTTAAACAAAATCTGCAGAATTACAGCTCAAAAATCCTAGTTCTCTGGCTTATCCAGATATCCTTTATATGAGCAGACCCAAAATTACGGGTTTGGAATTATCTTTTCAAAGTATTCTTGAATAAAGTATTACTTGGTGAACATTGTAATTTAATAATGATATATTGTCTTTTGACAATACTAGCCTCATTCAGTGAATCGTTATTTCAATAGAGTGCAATTCATCATCTCCAGCTTGTCCTGCAAGAATAGGTTTTTCCAACAATGAGTTCATGAGCTTTGGTCCCACAGGACAGATATTTCTATGTTAAAAATAAGCCGGATTATTGTTGTAGATTTGATCCTATTTCCTATGCTGAGAAATGTGTCTCTCTCCTTCGTAACAAACTACAGAAAGGAAATTATGAAAAATTCATCCCTTTCTAAGGGACACTCTATTTTTTCTTTCCACTCTCTATTCCAGAACCTGCATTAATCTCTGCCTCTGAAGAGGATCTGATGGTTCCCTGTGGGTTAATCCTTTCATCTGCTTCCTCTTCCTTTCCCAAGGGAAGTATTTTGAAATTTAACAAAAAACCCCCACAACCTTGTGAAGCTTTAGATCTGGCCAAGGGGGCACTCAAAAAATGACACCATACCAACAATTTTGCAGTAAACACACTCTAAAAACAGTAGAAAATGTTCCTTCGGTGGAACGTGCCCCAGTGCAACAGAGCAGTCCTGGGCATTTCTTGGAGACTCACTGCAGAAAATAAATACAAGAAAGACTTATTAGGTCATGTTGTCTATCACTTGCCATCGAAGAGCTATTTTCCATGGTGTTTCACAATAATACCTGTTTTCATAAGATAAAACTTATTTTAGGCGTAACTGCTTCACAGTAATAGGCCTCACAGATCAAACATTCCCTCCCTTGTGTTCATCAGATATTGACATTTAAACTTTTCTCAGTTATCCCATTTCCCTTTAGCAACATCTCTGTTCATCCCATCTCCCCTCCTGGCGAAAGCCCACAGTGGGCGCAGCACAGACCTCAGAGCAGGGGGGAACCTGTAGCTGGAGACCTAAGGACACAAGTGACACTTCTGTGCAAATCTATGGTTTCCAACTCAATAGTCCCCATCCCCACAAAGGTTTTTTTGGTCATTATTTGTTTCCTTTCAGCATTTTCTCTTCAGTCAACTCTTTTAAACATTTTTCTTCCATTCTCTGACACCCTATAAATTAACCACAGTAACCTCGGTGACAAAAAAAGGAGATTGTCACTTCCTCATTTGCCCTTGCCTTTTATCATATATATTGTATTTCCTCTTATTTACATTTTCATTATCACCCTGGTTCAGTCCCTCCCAGCCCTTCAGGGCTGTCACTGTATGAAATATGAGCCCTTGCATTTGTAACACTGCAATTTTATTAAACTGAAGCTCACTTCATGGTGGTGAATGCAAGCAAAATTGTATATACATAGATACATGCATGCAAATGTAAAGTTTTATTAGGAAAACATGATATTAAGATATTTTATCTAATGTCATGTTCTTCCTCAGTTTTGCCTTGTTTACAGCTTTCTGAACACCCTGAGAGATTTGAGTGTGGGAAACAGGCATGCCACTGGTTTAAAGTTAATTTTCTTCTCCTTCAATCTGCAAGTGCACAAACAGACCCAGGGACTAATTGCAGCCACTGCAAGGGATGCGGGGGGTCATGTCCCCACATGTGACCAGCCGCAGCAGAGATGCGATACAGCGGTTGCTTACAGCACCCCTTTTGAGCTGGAACTAAGTCCTGCCCTGCCTGGTGGAGACACCCACCTCAGCATCTGGGTCCCATGCAGCTGGTGAGTGAGCACTGCACCACAGCAAATAAATGTGGCCCTATTTTTCTGGATCTCAAAGCACGATTTTTTTTTTTTGTGGGGGGTTATCTGTGCTTACCAATTAAGTGGACTCAGTAACTGAAGCAGGAAGTTTCTCCTGCTTGCAGGTACTGATAAATGAGATTTTCTTTTTGAATATTTTTTTTTTAGCTCCAGTACTTGTTGAAATCATCCCTGGATTAATCCCTTCCATGCCAGACAGCTGCAGTGAGTTGTGTCCTAAACTGAAGATCACATACACTGTCTAGCCAGAGCAGAACATGCTTGTGGCATTTGCTCAGCTGTTTTTCTTGCAACATGTTTAAAACTGGAGGAATGGGAAGTAGCACTTTCTAATTCAGAATTTGCCTCTGGCCATATTTTTATGGCTGCTTTAATAGCAGGGTACAAATTCTGGGTTTGGTAGAAGCACCTGTGGTAATCTTACTCCAAAGTACATCCAAGTTATAATAATTACCTAATTTTGCATCTTCATGCAAAACATCATCTCTCTTTGCCTAGCCCATAAGATGGGCACATTTTGTATATCAGACAAAATAAATAGTGGCTTCACTTTACAAAGAAAAATAATCTTGATATACTTGCATGCACATGCATATTTTATGGATTGTTGCTAATGAAAGATATTGTATTTCATTTCTCTGCTGCTTGCTCAAGAGCAGAGAATGAATTTTCATTAGAG